TTGCATTTTCAACTCATCCTGATGATTGTGGGAGACCATAATGTGTTTTGTATGCAAAAGAAATTGTAGGAAAATCTCTTTGAATCTGTATACATTTGAATAATAAGATAGTAAAAACATTTTATGAAAGATAAAAATATAAACATAATTTGCATAATATTTATTAACTAATAAAGGTGATGGTTTTCAAAATTTTATGGTTGTGAGTTAACTCAAATTTTCATGAATTGTGAAACATAACTGGGAATGATGTTATATTTCTACCATTCTGTCCTTAGTTAAGCCCATCCATCTGCAATATTAATCAATTCATTAGAAATTTTATTTCCTTTTCCTCACAGCTTTATTTAATCTGCAAATTTTATTACATATTTGGAGCCCAATTATAATGAATATATGCTATGTGGCAGATTTAGGTGGTAAATTTTGAAAAGTACTTTGGGTATCACTTTGCCTTTTACTCCTGCAGTGATCTGATGTCCATTGTCATTTCCTCTGTGTTTCAGAAATATTTGGACGAAGATGGAGAGTAAAGACAGGAGAAAGAAAGGGCTAGGGGAAAGCAAAATGATGGGTTGGGGAGAAAGATGACAGAAATTGTCTTTGAAGGTTTGCATTAGACTGATTTCACTTAATTTAGTGGCCCCAAATGTACTACTATTTTCATTTTTCAGTGATTATTTTTCAGTTTTCTTCTTATTTTTAGGCAATTCAGACCTCTACAGGCAACCTGAAGTGATTCATATTCATAAATTTGTCGTGGAGTCAAAATCTCTCTATTAAATAAATTTAAGAGACGAAGATAAAATTGAGGATATTTTAATGGTTGTATGGGTTACTAATCTATTGACAATATAACATAAATTCCAAATACAAAGATGAGAGATGAGGCAATGCCTGGCACTAGCATAATTAATGTAATGCGTTAATTTTGTAGCTGTGTACAGAATATGGAAAGTTGATATAATATTAATAATCAATAAGTCTTGAAATAGAACAGAAACAAATTATTTACATCTGTGGATGTTACTTGAGAAGAGTTAAAAATAAAATTCTGCAGAGATTTTTTTCTCTTGGGATTAAGTCTAACACTATAAACAGAAAATGCAGTAAGGTTTATTTTTCTCCGTGTACATGTTTAAATTTTTACATTAGTAAATTTTATTAGTATTGAAATTATTTTAGTTAACTGATGAATAACAACATTGGAAATTAAGTTAATTAATATTCCATATTCATATGTGTTTTACATATCATTGAAAAGCTATTATGTATGTTAGTCTCTTAGAAACTAAGGCACTTACTGGACAGAAAAGATTATTCAGAGGGTAAATGCACTTGTCACACAATCCTGATGACCTGTATTCAATCCTCAGAATTTACTTGGTTCAAGAAGAAAACAGGCTCTCCACAGTTATTCTGTGGCTTTCGCATGGATGCCATGATAGACACCTATACACACACATATGATTTAAATAAATACAATAATAAAAATAAATGTAGTGTTTAGAAAAAAGAAATCAAAGTTTTCGACAGTAGTGTATGTGAATGTTAAGAGAGATTCAAGAAATTTTGTTCTAAGCATTTTATCTCCAGAGTTTCCAGATTCCTTTATCTGTTACTGTTTTTATTAATCTGTTTTTAATTTAATTTAAATTAGAAACAAGTTTGATTCACATGTCAATCCTTGCTCCCTCTCCCTCCCCTCGTCTCCCATCCCCCCTTCAACTCTCCTCCAACCCCTTCCTCAATCCCCACTCCACTCTCCAAGGAGGGTGAGGCCCTTGGTGGGGGACCTCGAATGTACAACCAGACAAAAACAATCATACTTTACAAATTTAAGGTATGAAAAGAAAAATCACTACTTAAAATATATTGCACACAGTCACATGAATATACCTACAAAATCATTACAAAATTCAAAACATCATTTTTGTATAGTTGTAAATGGGTTGTTATTACACACATATTTAGCAAAATAAAAATACTGTAAACAATTATATCCTGTACTTAAATTTATGCGACAGCTAAAATTTCATGCAGAAAAAAACTATGTTTAGATTAATAAAAAATGGACTACTATATTTTTTAATATCTCTTTTCCTCTTTTTTGTTTTGAGACAGTGTTTCTCTTTGTAGCCTTGGCTGTCCTGGAACTTTGTCTGTAGACAAGGCTGGTCTTGAAATTATAGAGATCAGTTGGCTTGGTTTCCTGAGTGCTGGGACTAAAGGTGTGTGATACCACTGCCTTGCTTATATTTGAATATTAATACTGTTTGTAAGGTCTGTTTTTACACCCAGTCTAACGATACCGTTTTTTTGAAATAGTTGCTATTGCCTACATTAGTTTTCTTTCTTTTGTAAATGCTTATTACAATTCCTTTTTATACAAAAACTGCAATTGAAGATTTGGGTTGTTTCTTATTTGTATGAAGGTGTCTCATTTCAATTTCATTAATATTTATTCTTAATGAACATATGTCCATATACTGGCTCTGTAGGAATCTTATTTTATAAGGTTCATTTTACAGTCAATGTATTTATTTTATTTTGAAGATTTTTTGTCTTTACAATCACCTATGCAAGTACTTTACATGTTTATTTATAAAGTCCCTCAGCAGATGTATTTAATCACTATAGATTTGTCACCTTATTTTTATCCCTTTAAGCTTCAAACTATTTTTATTAATTATTTGAAATTTTATGCAACATGCTTTAATCATATTCACTCTCCATTCCCTACTCTTGCCAGGTCCATGCCTTTTCCCTTTCCTTTCCATGCTGCTTTGCCTCCTGTTTTTATTGTCTTCCCAGAGTGGCTAATTTGTTCCATCCAAATATTCTTGGATATGTGTCTCCATTGGTGGCATGGTCTACCTGTCTGGTGCTATACTTTTCCAGTAATCTGATACATCCTCTCACAGCAGCTAAAGATTGCAAAAAGCTCATCAGCTGGACTGAACTTTGTGCTGAACTCCATTTCCATGCTGTTTTTTCCTGACTTTGACTTGAACAGATTGTGTCTACACCATCATAATTCCCATAATACGATGTGTGTACAACTGCGCTAACGTGTCTAAATGCACTGTTTTCTTGTAGTCAACCACCACCTCTGGACCTTACATGGTTTCTACCCAGTTAACAGTGATATCTAACCTTTGGTAGAGGAATGTAATTTTAAATTTAAATGATGTGCATATTAATTTTAATGTAAAGCTTTTGACAACTTCATTTATGTACTCACACAGAAGATACACAGACACATTGATGCAGAAACACATACAATATATATATATATGTACATATGTATGTATATATATATGTATATGTATGCATTCTGATTACTATCACCCTTACCCAACTTATGTCCTGTATTTTCATATTATATTTCTCCTCATTACATGTCTCTCTCCAATATCCATGACTTTTCCTGTTTTCTCACCCATTTATATTAACAAGGCCATCTGTGTGACCATAAATTTACCATGACCCATTCGAGTTTTGGGGTCTTATTAGTAAGTATACAACTCTAGACAGTATCTGCCACATTCCAGAATCTATGAGTAGCCTGAAGGTCAGTGAGAGGGGACCAGAGAGATGGCCCTTGTCTCTGTCAGTTCTGCAGTGAACTATTTCAATATCATACATGCCATTAAGGCAAACACTGCTGCTGTGAAATCATAATTGCATTGGCTGGGACATTCTAACAGGAGAGATTTCCACAGATCTCCATATTTTTTGACTCTTGTGGTTCTAAGATATCTTGAAATTGACATCTGCCAGGGCTTCCAAGAATTTTCTCAGTACATTCTTTAAGACCTTCCATCATATCTATCTACTTACATCTGTAGATTGATAGATTAATATAAGCTTTCCTTAGATTTATGTTACTTATACAACACAAAAAAGTTTACATTCTAAAACATTTAAATATTTTGATCATTTAATGTGCAAACCCTAATTGTGTTAGGAATTTGTGATTATTTGTTCACAGTTCAATAGGATAGAGGATGGTAATATTTTCCTTCAATTTACATGTTTGTGAATTATAGTCCTTCTTCACAAATTATAAATGGGTAAAAGGTAAATTCATCCAAATTAATTTCTCTGATTTTAATGTTCAGAAATAGTCAATTTTTCATTTGCAAAATGTCAATATGAACTAATAACACAGAAATTATATGGCAGATTCTGATTCCTGAGATGCCATAAATAATTACTTCTTTACACTGTATTAGCCAATGGTGTCATTGTTACATTCCTTTGAGTTAACATGGGTACTTTGTCTTCATGTCCTCACTATTTAAACACTGCTGACTGAATCTGTTCCTCTCAAAAATGTATTCACAAACCAGAAGCCTCTTCCTATAGCAATGCACTGGTTACTCCAGAGGTCATTTCATTGTCACATTTAGAAATTTAAGAATTTGTCCTCATGGCCTCACTATTTAAACACTACTGACTGAATCTATTCCTCTCAAAAACTTGTTCACAAACCATAAACCTCTTCCTACTAGCACTGCAATGGCTACTCCAGAGGTTATTTCATTTTTACATTTAGAAACTTAAGAGTTTGTATATCTTAAGAGTTATGAAAAATGGAAATGTGTGAAAATAACAACTTGTAGATATCTTGGAGAAATTATATTTTGGGTAATATAATTGTTTTTAGGGAGAGCTTGCTTACTCAATACCTTTGGATAATTTTTCTCAATGATATCTACTGTTATTCCAAATTTAGGGACATTGCTTTGAACACAAAAAAAATTTCCAAGATTGAACTCAGTGATATAATTTTTACGAAATGTTTTTAATGAAATGTTTAAAAATAAAAATACATTTTATTTATCTAGGGTGACCCAGTTTGGGTACTTATTTATAGAGAAAAGATGTTCTAAGGCACAAACAATTTGTATGGAGACTTTGAATAGGTAGGAAAGAGTAATAATATCACTCTGACAAAATTACACTCCTTTTACCACTTAAGGATCTGGATAGAGGACATGGCAGCAGGAAACCACTGTACAGTGACTGAGTTCTTCTTGGCTGGACTCTCAGAGAAGTCAGAACTCCAGATGCCGCTGCTTCTTCTCTTCATTGGAATCTATGTGGTCACTGTGGTAGGGAATCTGGGCATGACCACACTTATTGGGCTCAGTTCCCACCTGCACAACCCCATGTACTATTTCCTCAGCAGTCTGTCCTTCATTGACTTCTGTCAGTCCACAGTTGTTACCCCTAAAATGCTGGTGAGCTTTGTGAAAGAGAAGAACCTCATCTCCTATGCTGGATGCATGACGCAGCTCTATTTCTTCCTTATTTTTGCGGTGGCAGAGTGTTACATGTTAGCTGCCATGGCATATGACCGCTATGTTGCCATCTGTAACCCCCTGCTTTACAGTGTAACCATGTCCTCCCAGGTTTACATTTCTCTGATTTCAGGTGTGTACATTATTGGTGTGCTCTGTGCATCAGTTCACACAGGTTTCATGATAAGGATTCAGTTCTGCAAACTAGATGTGATCAACCACTATTTCTGTGATCTTCTTCCCCTCTTGAAGCTTACGCACTCTAATACATATATCAATGAATTGTTGATTCTATTTTTTGGTACATTAAACATCTTTGTCCCAATCCTTACCATTATTACTTCTTACATTTTCATTATTGCTAGCATCCTGCGCATTCAATCCACCGAGGGCAGGTCCAAAGCCTTCAGTACTTGCAGTTCCCACATCTTAGCTGTTGCTGTCTTCTTTGGATCTTTAGCATTCATGTACTTGCAACCATCATCAGTGAGTTCAATGGACCAAGGGAAAGTGTCCTCTGTGTTTTATACTATCATTGTACCCATGCTAAACCCTGTTATCTACAGCCTGAGAAATAAGGATGTTAGTGTTGCCTTGAGGAAAATACTTGAAAGAAAAACATTTATGTAGTCAAAAGTAATGTGAGGATTTTTTATTAGAACTACGATATCCACAAATACATCATCAGTTGATATTTACTCCAATCTACTTGTCAATTTTATTACTCATTTGGTAGGGCACCTTGAAAATGTTCACTATTGTAAAGTTCAAAATGCACACATTATCACATATGTTTCAGAAAATCAAAAACATAAAGCAATGTAAAGGTATCATGTACGTACATGCCCACAATGGGTCACCTGTCATCATATATATATATATATATATATATATATATATATATATATATATATGTGTGTGTGTGTGTGTGTGTATACTTTTTTGTATTTCATAATCTTTAAAAATAAAACTTCATTTTTATTTGCAACAACATGACACTTTTCTTTCTAATTATGTTAATAAATTTTTGAGAATTTCATATATAAGTGATGTAATATACTATTCCCTTCATCTCTCTCCAACTACTCCCATGTTTCCTCTGTTCTTTCTCAAATTAATGGCCCCTTTTTTCTTTAATTCACAGGCATGTTCACACACATAGGTGGGGAGGCAGGGGAGGGCTTTCCCATTTAAAGACTGATCCTGTTCTCAGCAATCACTTACTGCCTGTAGCTTTTCATCTAAGAGTGGTTTCCCATGTTTTCTTCTATCCACATCGGTATGTGGACTGGTATCATTTTAGGCTCTTGTTTAGGAAACAATATTATTGAAATCTGATAGTAACACTATCATGTCATACATATAAGACATACAATATCAGACTTCCTTTTCCTCTGCCTCTTAGAACATTCTTTCTTCCTCTTCTAAAATGTTCCCTGATTCTTACCTGGAGGGGTTGAATTGCAGATGGATTAATTTTTGTACTTAGTCCCATCAACAGTTTTTCTATTTATACCAGGTATGGAGGTCTGTAATGGACTCCATCTGCTGTAAAAAGTGCTACAATTATCTATGGGTATGACATGATCAGTTCAAAGTATGCAGTTACAGAGTCTAATAGTTGGGGAAAGTGTCACTGTTAGATTTTCGTCTAGGCTTCATGGCCTCATCAGACACTCACATTTAACTATGTTTCAAGGACTACGGCTGGGTCCAAAGCCCTAACACAGCCAGGGTCTGTGTTAATTTCAGTGGCTCCTGTTACCAGCAAAGACAGTGCACATGGCTGGGGAATGGGCTTCCATCTGAGGCTATGTTGGTGTCCTAGGGCCATGTTACTCCTGGGGCCATGTTTATCTGAGTGAACTGTGCTGTCCCCTGGGATACGGTGACATCTAGGTCTGAGCTGCTATAGAGGGCCATAACTGGGTCTGTGCACAATCATCAGCAGGGGTCTGTCTTGATGTCTGTATCCCATGTTACGAGCCTGGCCCAAGAGAACCATGCATATTGACACCTGAGTACCTAGCTGAATTGGTCCCTTCCTTACCCGTCTTTGGGAGATCAGGCCCTACCAGTAGCTGACTGTTGCAGCAGGAGTGCTGGTTCCTCCCAAATGGGAGAGCTGGACTAGATGACACTGGATCTGTGGGATATTGCCCCACAACTACCACAGGCAAGGGAAAGCTGATCTGGATGGCCTGGGTGAAAGAAAACTGCCTTTGCCTCTTAATGTAGGGGGGCAGTCCCAGCTACCATCCAGGCCCACATCCATTACTTAGAGTTGGCCCACCATTTATTACTTGCTGGAATCATGAAGGGACTGGTCCTGTGGAACCAGTCCTGCCCCATGACTCATTTCAGGAGCAGGATACTGAGAGAAATTTTGGTAAAGGTTCAGTATTGATGGTGCACCAAATGCCGCCTAACAACTCATTATAAAGAACAATTGCAATTAAAGATGTTTGAACAAAAAGGTCTACTGGTGATATACCTCGGCTCCCAATGCCACTAAGATAAATGAAGAGGTGATGAAGAGGGGGGAAAGATTGAGGAGCAAAGTATTTTTTATTAATATTTTTATTTCATTTTTTATTGGAATGAGCTCTGCAAGGGTGAAAGGCAGATATGGAGGGACTGTGAAATGAGTGGCGTCAGGGTGCATGATGTAACATTCCTGAAGAATCAATAAGAAATTATGTTAAAAAACTCCCTCCTATCAAATGGGCCTTAAGTATAATTCTATAGAAAATGGTTACTTTTATGGTGTAACTTCCACTATTTTACGTTAAGGGACAGCTTGCCTTGCTGGTTATTATTGTGGTTAATAGGTGTCACAGTTGAGTAGCACTATTAATTGTTTTACTTCCTTTGCAACTGGGATAGCATCTTCCCATACTATGAAATCTATACTATGAAATCTAGTTCTAGTCCTACAGGAGTAGACTTCTAGGTCCAATTCAGATTTATCCAAGTTATGTGTCTGAATCCTGTGATATCTTCAGCAATAGAGAATTCCCTTCATTTTATGGGAAGGAACTAAACACAATAGCAACAACATAAAATGTGTCGGGAAAGCATGTTTGTGTGTGTGTGTGTAATTATAGGTAAATGTAAAATAATATAATTCCCTAGACATTTTTAAGACATATTGGTATTTATCATTTTCCCTACTTTTCCTTTTATAATAGTGTCCCTTGTAACTCCCTAGTTAAAGTGCCCCCCAAGTTATTCCATTTCTGCATTCATTTTACCTGTATCTGCTATTCCCCTCTATAGAGAAGATGCCTACCATTATCATTCCTTTTTTTCTGGTTTCTGCAATAACTCTAGATTATATATTTACACACAAAGTATCAAATCTATGTATCCCCACTCTGAGTTACCTCCCTCAATATTTTCTAAATCCTTGTATTAACATCCACATTTCAAAATCTTATTTTCTTTACAGATAAATAGAATTCTACTGTGTATGTGTACATGCTTTTATTATTATTTTATGAGTCAAAGGTCATGTATGTCATTTCCATTTCTTAGTTCTTTGAAAAGATGTGCAAACAACAGGATGGAACAATAATCAGTAGTGTCAAGTCCATTGGGCAAAGGATGGTATTGCACAGTCGAATGGCAATTTATTTACTTACTTTTTTCTTACTTGATTATATACAGTTCACGACTTTGACATCCAAAGTGGCTTCACAAGTTTGCAATTCCATCAGCAGTGAATGATAGTTATCATTTCCCCCACATACTATCAAAATTCATTGTGTTTTATATCCTTGTTTTTTCTGGCTTTTATTTGAGTTTTAGTAATGTTTCTTTTATGAATGTGGTGCCTTTGGATTTTGGGCATAGAGGTTCAGAATTGAGACTTCATCCTGATGAACTTTTTCCATTATGAATATGAAATGACCTTCTTCATCTCTTTTGATTAATTTTAGTTTGAAGTCTAACTTGTTAGATATTGGGATAGATACATCTCCTTGCTTTTTTGGTCCATTTGATTATAAAATCTTATCCCAACTCTTTACTATGAGGAAATGTCTGTCTTTGAATCTGAGGTGTGTTTCTTGTATGCACCCAAAGGATGGATTCTGTCTTCGTATCCTTTCTGTTAGCCTGTGTCTTTTTATAGGTGAGTTAAGACCATTGACACTGAGGGATGTTAATGACCATTGATTGATGATTCTTGTTTGTTTTGGATTCTTTTTTGTGGTGGCCTTGTGTGAGAATTTTTCCCCTATTTCTGGCTTTTGGCAAAGTGAGATTACATATTGCCTACATCTTTTTGAGTGTAGCTAATTTCCTTGGGTTGGAGTTTTCTTTCCAGAATTTTCTGTGAGGCTGTATATATGGATATGTATTTTGTCAATCTGGTTTTGTCACAGAATGTCTTGTTTTCTTCATCTATAGTGATTAAGAGTTTTGCTGATTGTAGTCTGGGCTGGGATCTGTGGTCTCTTAGTGTTTGTAGCACATCTATCCAGGACCTTCTGGCTTTCATAGTTTACATGGAGAAATCAGGTATCATTCTGATAGGTTTGCTTTTATATGTTACTTGACCTTTTTTTCTGCACTGCTCTTAATATTCTTTCTTTATTCTGTATGTTTGGTGTTTTGATTATTATGTGGCAAGGGTACTTTTTTTGTTCAGTCTGCTTTGTGTTCTATAAGCTTCTTGTACTTTCATAGGCATGTTCTTCAGGTGGGGAAAGTTTTCTTCTATGATTTTGTGTAATACGTTTTCTGTACTTTTTAGCTGGGCTTTTTTGCCTCATTCTATACCTATTATTCTTTGTGTTAGCCTTTTCAGGATATCCCATATTTGCTGGATATTTTGTGGTAAAGATTATTTTGGATTTAAAATATTCTTTGGTAGATAAATCTATTTCTTCTACATTATCTTCGGTTTCTGAGATTCTGTCTTCCATCTCTTGTTTTCTGTTGGTTATGTTTGCATCTGTAGTTCCTGATGCTTTTCTATTTCCAACATTACCTCAGTTTGTGTTTTCTTTATTTTCTCTATTTCAGTTTCCAGGTCTTGCACTGTTTGAATTGTTTCCTTCATTGATTGCTGTTTTCTTGGCTTTCCTTGCTTTCTTGAAGAAATTTGTTGATTTCTTGCATTTTTTAATTTTTTTCTTCTGTCTCTTTAAGAAATTTTCCCATATCCTCACTATCATGAGGTTGTTTTTAAGGTTATTCTCTTCTGCTTCATCTGCTTTGGGATATTTATGTCTTCCTGGTGTAGAGTCCCTACTCTCCGGTGGAGTCATATTGGTTTTTCTGTTGTTGGATGTGTTTTTATATTGTCATCTTTGTATCTCTTCTTCCATTAGGAGCACTTAGGTTCTCTTGCTCTTCTGGCACATACAGGTCTAAAGTTCTTTTCTGGTGGGTTCAAGCAGGTTCAATACTCTGATGGGTCTCATGATGGAGGCAGGAGTTTCTGAGACAGTCTAGGCAAGGGGCAGGCCCAGCAATATCCAAGGAGTGGGAAGTAGAGAGTTGGGGCCTTGAGCAGAGCCCACAATCACCTCAATCATAGGGTGAAGGATGGAGAGCAGAAGGGGGCCAAGACTGAGTTGTGGCCAGACTCAGGGAAGTCCTTTCTGGCAGGGTGGGTTCAC